GTAAATACTTTTGTCAATGTCTGGGTAAGTATGGCATTGATGTAACGATGAAAAGTGTAGCATATGTAACAGTCAAGAAACCAAAATTTTCATGTTCAGTCCAAATTAGATTCTTTTGCATGGCGTACTAAGCGTTGTTGAGTAACTCGTTTTAAATCATATGAAAACATAATCTCTATGCCTTAGTTGAACAGTTCTAAATTAGGAAGGATAACGGACCACAGTCTGTGCTATACATACAAAGGTTTTTCGAGCACAAGATAACATGATGGGAATCATCAGGAGTGTTATCACAAAATGCTATCAAATGTCTATCTTCAAGGATTCCAGTTACCTTTCCAAGTACAGCCAAGGGTCAACAGTTATCAGCTGAACAAAGTTATAACCTTGAGTTTATTTAAACATAGCCTTACTGAAAACATGTAACGGTGAAATTAAGTAACAAGGTCAAATCTTTAACCAAAGTGAATTGATGAATGCAAAGACATGGAAAACTGATGAACGCAAAATGTGGCTAGGAGAAGCCTGGGTAAAATTTAAAACACAAGGCGGATAAAAGAACAAATAAATAACGAAACAGTTCAGTTAATCATCATAGAGGGATTTTCTGGCGTGTTCTTTTTTCACGTGACCCACTAAAACCCCTCCGGATGCATAAAGACAACTCTGTATTCATTCAGTTATGGCTCTACACGCTAACTAGCACATGTCAGTGCGATACACATGAGTTACAACAGTACACCTGTTCAATTCTAACTCTAGCTCAGTTATTAATCTGCCTCCGGAATACAAAAATTTCGCACATCTCTTCTAATAACTTCTTCCTTCATACCCATCACTGTTCCTACAAGATATCCTCATTGTCCTTTGCAACTAAAGCGTCTATTTTCGTCATAGTAGATACAACATTAGTTTGAGCGAAACGGTTTACGATCCTTTGGTTATTCTTACGGCATTGATTGAGGATAAACCAGTGAAAACGGGTGGTTCTGTTTCAGGTGTCTATCACAGTTGATGGTTCAGGATAAGCACATTTTAATGTTTCAGAAATGTCAGCAATTTGATATAGTTTGTAGAATATAAGTGAGTTTGAGTTACTTGACATGTCAGTTCACTTACCTTGAAGTTTAATAGTGGACTATGGAGTCTCTATTATTAACACTTGTATGGCTAACAATTACGATTTGCTCTAGTTATGACACTGAGGTATAATAGTGGTCTCTGAATGATGTAAAGACGTGCTACGATCCCCTTATCACCTATAGTTTTGACTGTATCGAGCGTTCGCTTAAACTACTACTGTAATTGATGAGTTCAAATACCCCAAAAAATACAACAATAACAAATAAGATGGGTTGAGCGAAAAATGATCGTGGGAGTTGAAATGAATGTCAAATTCCAATGGTATAAAAGTAATAAATCACAAACGTATTTGTAAGCTACGTTAACGTACTGTAGGGTCAGTGAAATTCCACTGAGCTCTAGCTAAATAATCCTGCAGTTGGGTCATTGATTATCGAACAAATTATCGATCCTCGTCAAGGCCAGTTAATCGTATGCCATGAACTGAACCATGCGGCGGTCGTCTTACTTTCGCTTTTATCTAATTTAACTAATATATTTCTTTAGTAACGTCCTCCGTGTTGTGCAGTCTTCAAAGCATCTATAGTACCTTGATATGGCATTGGGGTAGTCCACGTAAGGTGCTGACCACGAGGTGTGACTTCGTCGTTAGCTGGTTCATCACACCATTCCCGTCTAACTCGAGTAGGCCTCCAGTCATTTTGACACAGATCATCTACGTTGGTGATCTACAATATATTCAAATTTTGATGCTCTTGAAGATTAGATGGAAAAGTTCGAAATCTGGACTATGACTAAGGAAGATTTTGACGATGTTAATATTGTGACTCATTTCCTTACATTCATCAGTAAAGAAGCGTGCAGCTTAATAAAATCTCTATGATTTCTGGAAATGCTTACTTTAATTCTTCATGCAACTCTCAAGTAGTCACTTCAAGACCATGTAAAATATACAAATTTTGAATACGATAAAAGAGGAAAAATTCATAAAATGATTCATCATGGCATCAAAAATTCTACTACATTATTATATCATCTAAATCCAATGCACATTCATGGTTATGTAGACAATCCATTGTGAAGTTGCGACGCGGATCACGAAGATGGGCACAAGTTTTGTCAATGTTTGTCCTGTGGCAAGTTTCACTAGTTTAGTTCATGTGTATTTCGTAATTTTAAATGCTTAGAATGTGGTAAGATTGAACACATTCAGTCAGTTTGTGATATTACTGTTTATTACTCTGAAAGTAATGCCGAACTCTGAAATTCTGATCCTATTAGGCTGAATATTTCAAGTACACCATATCTGGTCAGATTCATAATATTATTTTTACCACATATGCGTTGTTCTCATGATTCATGTATTTCCAGTGAAATTATTTACAAATATGTAGAAGATATGTCGACTGCACCAAATCCTGATCTCTGATATTATTGTATCATATAAAGTTTGTCTTAATGATTCACATATTTCTGGTGAAAGTTCTTACAAGTCTGAGGAAAATATGTTGAACGAATCAAATCATGATAATTCAAATACTCTTAATCATCGCAACACGGTTTATTGTAAATAACCCCTGAATTTGCGTGATGTCGTTAAATTTGTTTTTTTTGTTGGTTTCATATAAATCTAGATAACTATTCACTCCATGCTAGCATTACCTTACAGCCTATTTTTATTCAAACTGATTAGTCAAAATGTTTGCTGGTGGTTAAAATTTTAGAATTTTATTTCTGTGAAGCACTTAAATGCTATGAATGGTTGTTAATGTGTTATAATGGCTAATTGTAACTATAACTAATACGTTATTGATATCGATTAAGCCAGTAAGCAGAGTGAGGATACTAATCCATATTGAAGTGAAATAGTTCACGTGACCATTAATCAAAGAAATAATAAGGTAATGTATTAACGCAGGAAAAAACAATCCATAAAGTAATGGTGAATAAATTAGAATAAGCAACTGGCTGCGTTCCCTCAGTTCGTCTTAAGAATAATAAATTAAGATCTAGGTCGATGCTAGCCCACATATCCCGCCAGTAGAATAATGTACCTAGTCCAATATTGTAGGCTTGCCATGATGTGACTATCCAACCTACATGACTCTACGTTTGAGCCACGCGAACTTGTTCAGTGACTCGTCACATCCTGAAATTCCGAAATGTTTTTAATAGCCTTTGAAGAATGCACATGGGCTGAGGATAGAAAAAAGTAATTGATATCAAGGTCGAAAGCTTACATATGGTGACCACACCTCCATGTTTTAGCAATCTTGTCTTAATTAAATGTCACCGAGTTTACCGTTTCTAATCTTCTCCAAGTGCTCAAAGGTTAGTGTAATATATTCATTTACCGTATGTTCGACGTCAATGAGCGTTCAGTTATGAACCGATGCTACTAAAATTCAGTTGAAACTGGATACACTTCGAATACGTTTAAGGCATTATAACCCGTAAGGAAAACTTCGCGACGCTCCTAGATTCACGTGTCAAATTGTACATTTGAGAAAAAGATATTTTATTTGTGATTTAATAATACTTGAAGAACGGAACAAACAAGCCATCTTGATGGTCATAGTTGAACAAATAACCCCAGAAATATCCAGAGAAACAGTAATGTTGATCCAAAAAAGACATATTCTACGTGAGCAACAAAATGCAACGGAATAATTCAAGAGATTTGATCGCTTAGCTTGTAAATTGGGCCAGAAGCGCTGCATCGAGTCTTCTATTTAAGAGCTTTTACGGAATTAGTGGGACCGTCTCATTCGGCAGCTTATTCTATGAATGGACTTTACCTAGAGAAATGGCTTGCTAATAAGCCAAGTTGCTATGTTTTGAGCCTAACTTCTAAGTTTTGACTCAAGGATTTGTGTTGTAACTGAGCTAAGTACTTATCGCTGGCCTATGGAAAAGCCATCGACAGCTGACCAAATCATTCGAAATTCATGCTACTGAATATCAGACAGTTCATAATTTCCAATCAAGGATAAGGACGAACAACGCTAACTAATTGGTTGAACGTCATGAACAGGTGCATGTGGTAACGGTGGAGCTCTGTTTTCTTGTACATAATTTTAATAATATATTTTCGCGATAACGCTGTTTGTGCTACACAATCATCAGTAACCTTAGAACCCCAGACAACAAAATTTTAATTGGATATTAAGCAAGATGCTTGACTTGGATGTAATTTGGAAAGTTAAGTCACTACCGTCCAATTGAAGTAGGCCCCCACCAGTCGACATGGATCACTTACCCCGGTGATTGACGTTTTAGAGAATGACCAATAGTGCTCAGTGCGCTAATAGTTATTGAGTGGCCCGTTTGTTTCATTAACAGAAATCCTGTATCTTAAGGAGCTTTCCATACTATTTGTATATAGGCCTCCGAAGTGTTTTCATTTTTTCACCCTTTGGGGCGTTCCAGAGTATTTCAATCATTTCGGAGTCAACAAGGAAACATTATCGTTTCATAATCATGATTATGCTTAATAAAACTTCTGGAAATCAAGCAGAAATCTCCACCGCCAATTTAAGTAAGAATGAACTTAAAAGTTATCAGTTCAAGGTTTACTCTAAAGGCTTTGTTTACACAGCTTGGAACATGATCATACCCAACCCAATAACAAATAGAGTAATATCTACAGCCAGGTATTCACACAATAAGACGGAAACTAAGTTTTGTATTAGTAACGGAATAATCAAGAATTAGTTAATTAACAAAGAATCTGAATCCAGCAATATAGGATCGCAGTATGGAATGTTGACAGATTAAAACAAAAATGAAGAACAATTTAGAGCAAACAATAAATGTAATAGCAATTTTTCAGAAAGTTGACTGGGTCACGAAAGCCTATATATAATTGCCTATATCTCAAATCTCTACCAAAATTATTCAATAGGGAATCGATCAGCCACTCAGCGCAATTTCCAACTGATAACTGCACGTATGTTCGTTGTTTTGTTCAGTTTTGTCTCACTTGATGTTTAATGATGCCTCCATTACGCAAAATGATAGCGGAATTACAAGTTGAATTCAAAGGCAAAAAGTATCAGCTAAAAAGACAGATTTCTCACTGTTTCCTCTCCATTCTCGTATATGTATATGTGCTGGTGAGACTATAATTTATGGACGAACCAATCAGATATAAGGTAACAAGTCACAAATTTGGGCGTGGAATCCAACCATACCCTTGGCTTAATAGAATTTTGGCATCATAACTGATGTCTGTTCGTGATGAAAACCCTAAATCTAATTTTTAACCATTCTGATTGCTTTATAACCCTTATTTAGTCCTAATTAGTAGTTGTTCACTTTCAAGGTCACTTCAGCGTCGCTCCGTGAGCTCACAATTTTGTGTAAAATTTGACTCATTTGGGGGAAATGGCACAAAAACCCAAAAATTTCCTCAAACTTTGGGGATTTCCCTGAAGTTGGGAGCTTGGGTCAAAGACTGTCCATGAATTATAGTCTCACCTATGTGCCCAATTTCAAGTTTAGAGGAATTTTCGGAGGACGCGATTAAAACCTCTGAAGTTTGGCTTGCCTTTGGCTTTTACCAAAAACTGCAGAATATTCTGCGGGAAATTCACTAAACGGTCGGGTTTCCCTCAAATATTTCGCCGATTTGGAGAAAACTACGAATTTTTAAGGGATTTTGGGGAAAGCCATAAAAGTCCCCTATAATCATGAAGCTGATTTTAAGTTCATTTGCATCAAAAAGTTTTATGCAAAAATCTAGGCAGCTTTTTTTCTGTGAATATGTATAAATGTACTTCAAACTAATTGCACTTAAGTTGACATAAATCCCCTTACTCATATAATATATTAGTTAGTCCAGCTTATACACTTGTTTTCATTCATCGTTTAGATGCCTAATCCACCTGTTTGCTACTACTATCAAGCTGGTTGTTGTAGAAACGGGAACGAATGCACCTTTACTCACCCGAAGATACGTTGTCGTACTTTTGCCTCTGATGGTTGGTGTCCTTATGGATACTATTGTCGTTTCTGGCATGATCCGTCTGTGAAACCGGGCGTTGTCAACCTTATCAAAAAGCCGTGCCAATTCTATGCAAATAATCAATGTAAATATGGTGATAAGTGCAATTTCTCCCATGATTTTAATGCTCAAAACAATAGTGGGATTACGTTAGAAGAATATCGAGCCACAAAAACGGTGACAGGCGTGCACATTAATATCGAAGCCCAGGAATCTACAACTACCGAAATGTCACACGGCAAACAGGATGGTATTTCCGACGCATCACTTACGTCAGTTGTAAAATCTAATCTAGTCACAACTTCGTCATCTACATGCCTTAACAAAAATAATCGTAGCTGTGTAAGACTGCCCTTCCAGAAATATGCTTCTGTAAACGCGATTGATTTTCAAGGAACTTCAAAGGCTGTAATTTGTGATCTTAATCATTCTGAGCTGGAACGCCTAAAGAAACAATTTCCTCCAGGCAAATTGCGTGAAGTAGAATCAAATGAGAACTATCATATGTTTTGTGTCAGATTCTCCTCCACAGATCCCGACTGGGTTAGTCATTTTGTTGGCGGTAAATGTAAATCAAACTTTATTGGTTACAGCAATAAATACTTAAGTCATTTCAGGTTTGGGATTATCTTGACATTTCGACTCGCTTGGTCAAGAATGTCCCGAAATCTCTTGCTTACGACTACATGGTTATCCGTACAGTTGGGCCAAGAAATCTTGTCTTTTGTGTCAAAAGGTTTAGATAAATGGATACATGTAATAATACACGCCGAGCATCTTATATACTTGTAGGGGTACTGGGGTGTCTACGTATTTCGGAAATTACTACATGGCTTAAATTTGCGAATCTTTGACTTGTCCCACCATCGAAAGTCAGTTTTAGGACTGTGTTTTAAAATATACTTCATGATAGTCACAAATAAAAGCGTAACTATAAGACTAAGTAATTTACTGTTGTAGACAAGTATAACTTAGGATATTGTTCCTAGTATTAATGAGTAATTTTTAAGAAGCGAAATACTGTCCAATATAAAGATAAGAGCTCCCCTCTTTTTATTTAAACCGGATCATACTTTAATCCGATAAAATCGGAAATCTTACAATCTCTATCTTGAAAGTTCACATGTTCTATCTCTTATTTCGCATTAATTACTCAAGGTAATATCACAGTTGTTTTATACATTTGCTGAGTACTGCTGTATACAATATGTGCGATCTATGCGTCTTCCTGACTAACTTATTTTTACTTTCAGGATATATTGTTACTGTCGCCTCACTATTTATTAAGTATATCTTATAAAATTTGTTTTTTACTTTGAGATTTTACCTGTTAGAGTTTTTAAAGAAACTTCTCAGTATGCTAACTTTATCGAATGAATAGTATAAAACAACTCTGTATTTCTAAGATAAGAGTGATAAGTATGCTATAAAAATACTAAGTAGTTGACATGTGAAATTCTTTTACATTTGTAGTTAGAAAAATGTTGGGCTATCTTTATTATAGAACACCTCTAGCATCTGATATATTTTACGGCGAATAAGGTTTATAACGGTATTTTATATGAGGTAAATAATCCCTCCCTCAACTAGTTATGCGAATGAAACGACTCTAGTTAGTTCCGGACAAATCTATCCGTTATTAAATTTAGTAATACAGTTTAAATCAAGTATTGTAAATTGTAGGAAGTGGCATTTTAAAAATGTTGTGCACGGAGAACTATCTTTTCTGAAAGTCTATATGACAGCACTCAAAAATTTGTTAATATCATTGCTTTTTTGTCTTTGGCTGATCAAATGAATTATCTATGAAAGAGTTCAGCCGGTACACATGATCTAAACTTTCACTTTAACCGATGCAAAAAATGGTCAATAATTTATTGCATTGGATGTAGAATATTTTATGACTTTGTATATGTGGTTTGCTTTCTGTTTAAATTTACCGCGTGCTTAACTGACGATTATTCACAAAACCCAGTTTCTGACATAAACCTCTGAATAAATAGATCTCAAGAGACTGCACAGTTGATTGGGGAAAAAACTTCGTTTTTGCTGAATAAGATAACATTTATGTACATATACGTACATGAAGATGATCGTAATTAAATACCCTTTGAAACATTTTCGAATTCCGCCTGTAAGATTAAGACCTGACTGTCAGCGTCAGTTTACATCCGTCATATAATCTACATACTTTGAAACTGTTTGCAGCCTGTTGATTGCAATCACTACAGCTTAGAATTACGAACCTCCATGTAGTATGCTTGTTTTCATCTGTATTAGAAAATGTTGCACTTCAGATTGATAAATAAATTCACTTGAATGTATACTAATGTGGTTGTGTACGTACGTTTTCATAGTCAAAGCACCGGCTACAGGAAACCACCGATTCTTTATTCTTAATCTAGATGGTTAATAATTTGAATCATTTGCCACTTACGAATTTACCTACTCGGCTTCAAGTTACATATTTTAAAGGCTAGTGATACTATCTGGCTGTTCAAACGAAAACTGTTTAAGCAGGGTTCAAACTTGTGGTCTTGTTTCCGGAAACCGAACAGTTCGATGTAGCCACTACTTTGTAATTCTACGTTTTATAGTTCTAGTTCCGTTTAGTGTGACTTCCTCTTGAGGTTGTCCACGTAAAATGTGACCTGACATAATAGCTTACCATGACATCTGATATAATACTGTTTCTAATCGTCTTCTAGGTCTACGATGTTCGTGAGATAGTGTTGAATATTCTCATCCCACAAATGTATCCCAAGGAACAACTTCAAATTTCAGTGGTAATGCAAGAACATTTACCAGTGATCTTAGTTGAGTAAGTACTTATCTCTCTTTTTCAGTAATTTGCATCATTTCTAGTGACCGTATGCATTTAAATCCACCCATATATTGTTTTTACGTAGCCATTTGAATAAAGCAATCGGTTCTTGGGTTAGATGTAAGCACCAATGTATGGAACGAATGAATCGTCTAGAGCTATACTTGCGTCCCCTCCTTTTGTGGCTTGATCGTAACTTGGAAGAATTATTCACTGAAGGATTACGTAAAGTAAGTTTATTTTTATGTTAATTACGGGACAAATGTTACTTTGCGTAGTTGTTTCCGATTTTCTTTCCTTATTAAAGCGCGCATACTTTTCCAATTGGAGATAAGTTATGTTGAAAATCTGACGCTCATGATCTACTCAACTCATTGTTGTGTTACTACTTGTTAACATCACCGTAATAATAGTGTTATCGAAAAATCACGGTTTTTGTCCTGTTAATTTCTAACAGTTCGTTTGTTATTTTGTTTGAAAATTAAACGTCAGACTAACTTTTAAGTTGTTTATAAAAATGTTTGATTATCTATTAAGTTGAACGAAAGAATCTGCAGGGCGTTAACTTAGTAGCACACAAAACCTAACCAACAACTTCAAATGCCTTAGCCGACATACTGGCAGCATGAAATCAAACTGCGTATATTAATTCACGAAACGTGTGATCAGTATCCACAGCTCACGATAACCAAGTATGTGAATTAGGTCAAATGATGAGATGTATGGCAAATTTATATTCGTGATCAAAGAATTAACACATAGATAATCAGTCAGTCAGTTACAACACAGGACCAGGCATCGGTCCAAGTTGCCATACCTCATTAACACAACAAGATGGACACCGGATTCATAAAAGTAGTTAATTCAGAGGCGGTAATATATAAAATATTACAGGAAGAAAGAATTATTTCGTAGAAAGAAAGATATGAAGTGATTTTAATCTCATAGTTTAAGGGAAGACAGAGACTGTATACACCTACGCCATTGTGATAGATTTTGAGCCATGTCACACAGAGTCTCCAACCATTGGTTACGATAGTCACGTGGACCCCAACCAAGTTGTCTGCATCTACCAACATGGCTCAGACCAGAAGTTAGTGACGTCATGCACTGATGCCACGTTTTGGTTTGGCCGCCCCTAACTTTCTTCCAACCATCCTCTACACTAGTCAGCATTGCGCGTCGTGGTAATCGGTGTTCAGGCATTCACAACACGTGGCCCAAACATCTCAGTCGATGAAAATTCACAACCTCATCAACTGTATTACTATCATTCCCTAATACCCCACATCTAACCTCGCTACTATTTACCTGGTGATCCCAGCAGATGCGAGCAATATTTCTAAGGAATCTGTGGCCAAATATGAGTAGCTTACGAATATCTACTCTTAGTGGCCACGTTTCGTAGTTGTAAAGTAAAACAGAACGAACTGCTGACCAGTATACTCGTTCATTAATTGATAGACGGTTATCTCGTCTTTGCCCGACCGTTGTTGCTACCTTGACGTGGTGGTCGGGCTTGCCTATCATGATGAAGCAACCGAGCTATGCTGGCTGGAACAACCGTCCCTCAAGGTCCTACCATGTCAGACAGGTCGGTTGAAGATTGGTAAGACTAAAAGCAACAAACCCAATTTCCGAAGGCGAAGTCGTACTGCTGACTGTACAGAGGTGTGACAGCAGTAAGGTGTTTCCTTCAGACAACCAGCATGACAACGATGCTGTCTTCCCACAAGGAGGGGTGAGGTTAGAAAAGGTCGACCCTAGAAATGCACACCTCGTCTTATCCCATGGATATCCGTCTCCGGCGGTAAGGTCTCAACAAGTATGGAGCTAACACAAAAATTACCCATAAAAAGGTCGTGTGTGACCGACCTCAAGCAGTTGTCCCTTGGGCACTGCGGTCACGCTCCCAAGTCACTAAGACCACCTCTAATCCAATTTCCTTTTCAGGTACCTCCAGAACAACCTTTCCACGGTGTGGGCAGCCGGGAAGTGATAACCGCCCTCATACCTCTAACAGCACTCAAGACCACTGTATTCACAATCAACCTCCGTCTTCACTTCCTATTATTCCTCCCACATCGACCTTCACCTCTAAACTTCCTTTTTCGGCTTCCCCCTAAAGTGTCACCATAGCCAACGATTCTTATGCTCAAAACACTGTCCCAGGTCTACTGAAACCTCGCTCCAAACTACAAATTGGATCCTTCATCGTACGAACCTTATTTCAAATCGGTCAACAGGCTTCCTTGGCTAGAACCCTAGAATCTCGTACCATTGATGTGTGCTGTGTCTCTGAAACATGCATACAGGATCCCAGTGTGGTCATTCACTTGACCTCACCTCGGCAAAACGGAGAGCCAACGAGATACACCCTCCGTGTATCTGGTGACCCGATGGCCAATTCTCGTGAGCTGGCAGTAGTAGGGATAGCACTAAGCATGAGGGCGGAACAAGCACTGTTAGAGTGGATCCCCGTTAACAGTCGTTTATGTGCTGTTCGGCTAAACGGCTCCGTAAGAACTCGGAAGGATAGGGACACACGTCGTTGCTTTTTTGTCGTTTCTACCTACGCTCCCACCGACTGCAGCTCAGATGAAGTGAAAAATGAATTTTACAGAAAGCTATCTGAACTTCTTCAGAAAGCTAAACGTTCAGACATAGTACTCGTAGCAGGTGACTTTAATGTCCAGATAGGTATTTTAAACCAAACAGAAAGGCATTTAGGTTGGTATTTTAGTATTCCGGCACAACGAACAGATAATGATGATCGTCTGCTGCAACTGTGCTCGGACAATCGTTTATTTTTAGCAATCACAAATTTTAAGCATAAGGAGAGACATCGTCTAACATAGTGATCCCCTAAATCAAACCAACAATTGACTCAGACCAAATTGCCATCAGTCATCGTTGCAGAGGGTCGATAGAAGGTTGTCACTCATCCTGGAATACCTGCTTGGACTCCGACCATGCCCTAATACGAGCACGCATCTGCTTGCGCCTCACTGGACGCAGAAAAGCCGCACTAAAAAGAACAATTAGAACTGAATTTAGTACCGAGAAAACCAAAGGTAGGGTCCAGAAACAACTGAGGTCACAATTAGGTAGTTCTGAAAAAGAGGCTGACCCAGATGTTGCTTGGAAAGATAAACAAACAGCTGTGTAAACAGCAGTGACATCTATTAATGATGTAAACCACAGGGTTACAAAGAACCAATGAATTTCCTCAAGGTCTATTGCACTGATGGATTCTCGTAAACTCATCCCATCATGCTCTCAACACGATGAAGAGCGTAAAGAAATCAGATCTAGGTTAACCAAAAGTCTAAGGAACGACCGTAAGCAGTGGTGGGCAACGAAAGCAAAAGAGATGGAAAAGGCGGCGGCTCTAGGGAACACAAGACAGCTGGAATTAATAAGTCAAGTGTAGGTGTGATTATTTCGAAAAAAGACGACACGCTCAGAATCGATCACAATGGCGTAGGTGTATACACTCTCTGTCTTCCCTTAAACTATGAGATTAAAATCGCTTCATATCTTTCTTTCTACGAAATAATTCTTTCTTCCTGTAATATTTTATATATTAGCGCCTCTGAATTAACTACTTTTATGAATCCGGTGTCCATCTTGTTGTGTTAGTGAGGTATGGCAACTTGGACCAATGCACATATGTGCCTGGTCCTGTGTTGTAGCTGACTGACTGATCTCGTCTTTGCCATAGGCAGAAAACAAACGAGCTTCTTGATTCCGTGCTGAGATTCCGTCAGACACCAACCCATTAGGGCTGATCAATCTTTCAAGATAAGTGAAGTTGTGAACGCGTTCGACTACTTCACTCCTTATCCTTAGTTCAAGTGTTGACGCAGACCAGTCCTGAAGCAGCAGCTTGCTTTCAGAGGGAGAGAAGCGCAGTCACGCTCCCAGGTCGTTAAGATCAACACTAATCCAATTTCCTTTTCAGGTTCCTTGAGAAATGCACACCTCGTTTTATCCCACGGATATCCGTCTCCGGCAGTAAGGTTTCAACAATTATGGAGCTAACACAAAAATTACCCATAAAAAGGTCGTGTGTGACCGACCTCAAGCAGTTGTTCCTTGGGCACTGCGGTCACACTCCCAAGTCACTAAGACCACCTCTAATCCAATTTCCTTTTCAGGTACCTCCAGAACAACCTTTCCACGGTGTGGGCAGCCGGGAAGTGATATCAGCCCTCATGCCCGTAACAGCACACGAGATCAAGTTGGTCACATTCAAATCTTTCCTACACTTCCTAATACCTCTCTTATCTCCATGACTAACCCTCCTCACTTCTCTTTATCACCTCGCACCGCGAGGGCAAACGATTCGTGTACGCGGAACGCTATTCCTGGTTTCCTGAGACCACACTGCAAACTACACATAGGAGCTTTTATCGTTTGAGCACTGTGCCAAATAGGAAAGCAGGATTCCTTAGCTAGGACTTTAGGATCTCTCACCATCGATGTGTGTTGCCTCTCCGAAACACACATACAGGATCCGAATAGAGTCGTTTATTTGACCTTACCATATCAAAATAGAGAACCATGTCGATTCACGCTTCGTTTATCTGGAAGTTCTGATGCTGCTTCTCGTGACCTCGCAGGTGTAAGTATGGCATTGAGTCCTAGGACAGAACTAGCTCTCTTAGATTCGATCTCAGTGGACAGTCGTTTGTGCGCTGTCCGACTAAACGGAACAGTAAGGATCCGAAAAGATAGGGACACTCGTCGTTGCCTATTCGTCGTCTCTGCCTACTCTCCAACTGACTGCAGCGCAGATGATGTAAAAGATGAGTTTTACAGAAAGCTCTCCGACCTTCTCCGAAAAGCTAGGCGCTCGGATTTACTAATAGTGGCTGATGACTTTAATGCTCAATTAGGTAAACTAAGCGATAGGGAAAGACACCTGTGTGGATCTTATAGCATCGTGGCTCAAAGAACAGATAATGGCGACCGTCTGTTGCAGCTATGCCCAGATAACCGCCTGTTCCTTGCAAATACTAACTTTAAGCATAAAGAGAAACGTCTTTTAACATGGTGACCCCCTAATTCGTCCCAACATTGGACCCAAATAGATCACATCGGAGTCGGCTTAAGCGCAAGCTGACAAGAAGTCTACGCGATGATCGTGAACAATGGTGGGTAGCGAAAGCAAGAGAGATGGAAAAGGCAGCGGCAATAGGTAATAGCAGACAACTGTTCAAACTTG